TTGGAGCATGTAAACAGTTAATTGTCAGATTATAGTTTTGTAGATTAAATATTTTGAAATCTCACATGCAAACTTGCCCCCCACACCACTGGCACGTGCTGCTGCGAAGGCTTTTAACACTTTGCAGGAACATGTCCCTCTGTAATTGCATTTTCACTTCCCCAGTGCCCAGCGCTTTCTCTGTTGAGGTGAGGGGTGTTTTGTTTTCATGCCAAGCTCCTGCACTGCCTTAGAGGTTCCTGTGACTCATCCCTGCTGTCTGGTGTCCTTCAGGCTTTGTTCCTGAAGCAGTGATGTAGGGATGAGCCTGTCAGTGTAGCCGTGTGTGTTCCTGAAGCAGTGATGTAGGGATGAGCCTGTCAGTGTAGCCGTGTGACTCTCGATTTGCTGTAGTGTTACAGTGCTCTTCAGAGCCCTCTGCTGCCCCCAGTCCATGGACCTTGCAAGCCTGTTTATTTCCTGATGTGATTTTTTTTTTTTTCCCTATTGATGAGGATCTTGGTCCTTCCCTAGAGTTCCATGGCTTGGATGAGGCTATGCTGCTCCGTGCCCTGCAAGCCTTGCAGCAGGAGCACAAGGCTGAAATTATCACACTGGATGATGGCCGAGGCGTCAAGTTCTTCTGACAGGAGGCCCCTTCCCTTCCCCAGCTCCAGTCTTCGGTCTTGCTGACAAGGGTCGCTCCCTGGGCCTGGATTCACACCCTGGCTGCAAGTAGCTGCATCCTCAGGATTTCTTGGGGCAAGGAGAGTCTGCGAACCCTTCCGAAGACATGACTTAGAAATATCCCGAGATCCTCTGTCTGTCTGTTCTTCCTCTTGATGTGCTTGAGAGGCTAAAGCTGCTCCAAGCAGTTCTGAGAGGGACCTCCCAGTAGTGAAACACTGGGGCTGCTGCTGGTCCCTCTTCCTGTGACAGCCTCGGAGCAGTCCCAGCTGGCTGGTTGAGCTTGTCCTCAAAGGGCCCCCCATCCCTCTGCCAGCCACGTACCTGGGCCCCCCGGTCCCACTGCAGTGCCCAGGGGTGAGGCAGGAGCAGGGGACTGGCTGTGGCTGCTGTGCTGTGGAGGCCCTCAATGGCAGAAGGAAATGCACTTACTGCCAAACGGGCTGGGGGATGCCAAGGAACTAATTTCAGGTGATTAAAATGAAATGTATTTATAGAGCAGCCTGGGTGTTTTCATCTGTCTTTATTTTTCCATCAGAAACAAAGTGTACCAGATTCCTGCCCTTCAGTCCTGTTTCCTCTCTGCCCTGAGGGAATGCAGCGGTGCTGGTGAGGGCTGGGCCTCCCCCAGGTGGGAGGCAGCAGCACAAGTGCTTTTCTCCACTTGGCAGGGCCATGGCCTGTGGGAGCCCTCACTGCCCATCTCAGGACAGAGACATTTACTTTAATTTTGCACATGCAGCCTGCTGGAAGCCCCTGGGTTTGTGCAGAGGTGACGGGGTAAGCTCTGTACCACTGTGGCTGGTAAGGGGATGACTCAGCTTTAGACTCTTGGTGCTGACAACAAAGTCCCCAGCTTGTTGGAAGCCGTGGCCCAGGTACAGTTGCTGACCCCGTGAGTCCTGGGGAAGCCAGATGGCTGTGCTGGGGCAGGATCATGCTCGCCTTTCCGTGGTGGAGGCTGGGGGCAGGGCTGGAGTGACCTTTGGTCAGACCAGTGTGGTTGTTCTGGGGGTCCGGCACCTGCCCTGGCCAGTGCTGACCAGCATGTCCAGCCTGCCCTGCCCTTGGGGACAACCCAGCACTGGTGTCACTGCTGCTGACAGCCAATGTCAGTGTCAGGGAATCCTCGGTGTAGGTGAGATGCTGGAGTCCAGGGGCTGCAAAATTTAAAACTTTCCATTTTGTAGCAGGAGCCCATTGACCTCAACGTGGTGGGATGTGCTGCCCTGGTCTGGGCACGTCTCTCTGGAGCTGCAGCTGAAGCTTAGGCTTCCCATCCGTGCCCAGGGACAGCAATGCTGTGGAGGAATTCCTGAGTGCCAGCACTTCTCTGCTGGAGAAAGGCACTGGCAGCGCTCGTGGTGAATCACTGACACACTGGGCAGGTGTGGTCTCCAATCCCTATGAGCTCTGCCATGGTGCTGCCGTGCACTGGCAGCACTGAGCAAGGCCAGCAGAAGCAAAGGCTGTGCCACAGTGTGTGCCAGGAGCCCCACAGCACGTCTGTCCCCACAACTGGCTCAGGCTCTGCTCAGCCCGGGACTCACTGCCTCCCTTTGTGTCTGCAACCACCGAAGTCTCTGTGTAGGATCTGTCTGCTACCAGTGTCTGCCCTGGACTGCCTCTGCTTCCCTCTCCATGCCACTCACATTGCCCCTACCCTCCCTGTTTGCTCTGCCTGCCTCTGTGGCCGCAGTGCTGTGCCTAAAGGCGTCTGCACTGGATCCCAAACAGCAAGCCTCCAGCAGTCAGGCTCAGGGTGTCTGTCCTTGCTGTCTGTGTGCGTGATGTGGACCTCCCAGCACTGTGTTCCGAGCTGGGAGTGCTGTCTGTAACCTGGCTGTCCTTGAGGGAGTCTGTGTTCTTAATTAAATTCGCTCCCTTCTTAGGAAATGGCTGATGTGATATTAGATAAGACTAAAACTAGCTTTCTCGTTCCAAGGCGCTCCTGGCAGCAATTCCTTTCTCTTTTTCAGCTTCCTATTTAGTTTGCTTACTCAGTGAGAGGAGGAGCAGGAAGAGTATGTCCCCTTTGCGGAATGGACACGGTGTAAAATTCCTTTTCCACACCCTCTGGTCTTGTTATTAGAGGCCACATCAAGCCGTGCCTGTGCAGACCCTGTGGGACCAGCTGCCCGTGCTGGGCACCATGGTGGTGCTGCTGCAGTGAGGTGTCACTGCCAGGGCTGTGGGATGGGTCCTTGGGATGGCAGATGTGCTGCTGGCTGGTGCTGCCGCCCTGGAGGGAGCAGGTGTCCCTCTGTGGAGGTGCTGCCCAGCCCAGCCTTGTGGAGGTGGCATTTCTGGGGGGGCTGATGCAGCCCCCTCCTCTGGCCCATGGCCCCTCAGAGGCCCTTGCTGTGTCTGGCCAGGGTGATTAGGACTCACTGGCTGGGGCGAGGCACTGCTCAGGGGCTCTGGTGCCGAGATAAGGCACTATCAGGCCAGGCACACTCAGATCCCACTGGTTTGGGAGGTAAGGTGCCAAGAGGGGGTTTATTTAATGTGGCTGCTTAGGAGCAAGAGTTGTTTCAGTTTGATAAATTTATATGCTGGGATAAACTTGCAGGCGGATCCCATCTGTACCTCTGGGCTGAGGAAATCCTCTGCAGTGATCTGCCCAGGGTTACTACCAGAGCTGAGGTTTGGGTGCCATCTCCTTCTCCCTGAACTCACATGGGTTAGAGCAAGAAGGGGCAAGGCAGCTCCTGTGGGCAGGGGGTGGTGAAACCAACTGTGAAAAAAGCTCTGGGTGTCCCTGGAGCCCTGGACCCTCCCTGGGACGGGCACCTTGTGCCACGCAGCCCCAGCTGTGCATCCCCATCTCTGGAGGGGGACACACACCTTTGTCTGGACCCATCCTGGCCTTTCTGTGATCCTGCCCTGAGCTCCGGAATCAGAACAGACAATTCCTGGCAGGGCTTGCTGGAGCCCAGAGCTGAGCAGGGCTTTGATTCATGATCTGATTTTAAGGAGAGTGATTACACAGTCCCCTGTTCTCTTCCTGGCAGCCAAATGCAGGTGAGAAATGGGTTATGTTCCCTGATTGCGGCGGTTCCTCAAAGCAAGGGCTGGCACTGGCATCCACAACCCAGAAATGTCACCCTGATAACGCTGGGGAGCTGCAATGGGCACCTGATTGTGGAGCAGGAGCCCTCTGTTTTCAGGCCAAGTTGTCTCCAGCTTGGTGTCCCTGGCCAGGTCAGGAGGGGAACTGTGCCCCTGCCTGAGCTGCCTGCCCCCTGCCAAACTCTGGTGTGAGGTGGCATTTAGCCGGGGATGACTAGGGAATTTCTCAGACCACTCATCAGGGATGTGTGGGAGGGCAGCAGTCAGAGTAAACGTCACCCCTAATTTCCTCTCCTGTCTGCAGGGGCCTCACTGGACTGGAATACTCCCCTGCGCCTCTGGGATCTTCCAAGGCATCTCATTTCATGATGAAAAGCCTTGATAAGGGGACATGTCCCTGCCAGCAACCAAGCCGAGATCTTTGCCTGTCTCCGTGTGTCTCACTGGAGAGAGATGGGGCTCCCTGCCAGTCTGGGCCATGTTCCTGTGCCTGGACAGTGCAGGGTCCCTGTCAGGGAACCCTGGGTGGGGGCAGCCTCAGAGCTAGCCCACAGGGCCACGGGCAGCGTGCCCCCCTTTCTGGCAGTGCTGAGAAGGGCTGGGTTCACCCGAACAAAGTGCGTTGTTTGATAGAGCTGCGTCAAACCGTGTTGCACCTGACAACACGAGAGTCACCCATGGCAGGGCCACCCGAGCACTGCACCCACAGCCTGTTGGTCCCGGCCTTTGGGCTCCCGTGGCCATGGTAGCCCAGTGCCCCGGCAGCAGGTAATGCCCTGCAGGGGCCGGTGCTGGACACAGTGTTCTGCCAGCAGTGGTTGTTCCCCCAGGACCGTGCCCCTCACACACTCCAAGGAGTGCAGGGCTGGCTGGGGATGTCACTGCTCCCTACTCAACAGCCCGTGCTGCACGAGCAGCAGCAGGGAGGCGTTGGTCAAACCCCTTGTTGGGGAGGGGGTTCCCGGCTCCTCCAGTGCTGGAGAGCCGAGCTGGAAGAGCTGGTCATGTGGGGGGAGCAGAGGGGAGATCGGCAGTGTGACACAGCTTGGCCATGGTTTCTGTAGGAAGCACATTTCATTAAATGCTTCTCCCTCCTCCTGCCGCCAGGGATTTGTGGGGAGCAGCGGTGTCGGACACGGCCACAGCCGAACTTCGGGTCAGCAGCCCCAGTTGCCCGGCGTCACACTGTGGGTGCCAGGTGCGTTTAGGAGGAAATGGCAGTGCTCCAGTATGGATCCACTCCTTAATGTTTCCCGTATCGTTGAGTAGAAACAATCTGACCTCAGGGAAAAGAAATTAGCGGTGGCCTCAATTGCTTTGTGTTTTATGTAAACAACCTCACCGGCAGAACAACCTCCTCCTTCAGCCTGGAGAGACAACACGCTCTTGTCCGGCTGTTGGCTCCCGCGGGGCTGACACACACCTTCGACTCTTCCTATTTGCGTGACCCTAATTTCAGGATTTCAGACTATAGTGAACCCGAGCAGGGCTGTCTGGGGCGGCGTGGGGGGACCCGTGACCGGGCAGCGGGACGCGGCTGCTCCCGGACACACTGCTCCGTGACCGGAGTCAGAAATTCCGAGGAAACGTCTAAACCAAGCGCGTTCTTAAGTCCCGGCTCCGGCTGCGTCGGTCACAGCGGCCTCGGAGCCCCGCAGGGGC